GCTGGGAAGTTCTTTGAAGATGCCCAGCACCCCAAGTTGCCTGTGTCTAGCACAAATGTCATTGACAGGAGTTCGAGCTAACTTGAAACTGCCTAGCACCTGGGGTGCTGTAGTTGCAGCATGCAAAGCTGGAAATGCTGTGGTTAAATTGTAAACCCCATTGCAAACCTGAAGCCCGGAATCGTAAATCTGTGAGTCCCCATCTCCGAACCCGGTGAGGAAGAGTTGTGATGATGAGGAGTTTACCCTATACTACCAATTCCTAAACCCTAAACCCTAAAGCATCCCTAAACCCTAAACCTAAACCCTATACTACCAAACCCTAAACCCTAAACCCTAAACCCTAAACCCTAAACCCTAAACCCTAAACCCGACCTTTCAAGGCGGGAGGCGCCGACTGGCTTTTCCAAGCAGTTCAGGCCCGCGGTGGTCGGGTTTAGGGTTTAGGGTTTTGAGTTTAGGGTCTAGGGTTTGAGTTTAGGGTCTAGAGTTTAGGGTTTAAGTTTTCGAGAGGCTGCAAGTTCCCTGGGAGTGCAGGGTTTTGAGTCGTTGAAGGCAAGGCCCAGGCCCCGAAGACCCAAGCCGTTGCAACCTCCAAATCTCTTAGCTCTAGGCCCTAAACCCTAAACCCTGAACCCAAAAGCTGTCATGAGCCCCTGGAATTTCCTGCAGACACTGGTCGCGGTTTTTTGGCACAGTTTCCACGTTGACGCCTGCTCGGGCAAGGCTGCAGAAGTCCGAACGGCGGACACGAAGGTTGGGCCTGCGGGTGGTTCCCAGTCGTTGCGCACCTTCCTTTCGTTTCCACCCTTTCTGCGTATGACCTGGGATGTTCCCCCTTATACTAGCAGTTCTTAATATGGATTATACTAGGGGGGAGTATAATTCCTACTAAGGACTGTTAGTATACGGGGGAACGTCCCAAGGCATTCGAGCATTGGCATCTTTCTTTTGCCGAAGGTGGAGGGGCCGCCCGCGCTGGCTCAGGCCGCCCAGACGCCGTCGACGCCCGAGGCGAATCTCCCAAAGGACAGGGAGATATGGGAATTTCCAAAACTAAACCCGTTTAGGGTTTAGGGTTTAGGATTTAGGGTTTAGGGTTTAGGGTTTAGGGTTTAGGGTTGAATTTCCCAAACTTGGTAGCCCAGTGGCACCCTTTACCCTTGTTTTGCTCTGGGTTCCCTTATAAAGTAACCAACCATAAAAAAAGGGTGCCCTTATTATAATATGGTTACAAACTAGGTGTACCCCTTTTATACCCCAAAGAGAGTAGAATCCCCTTCAAGGGGGCCCCCCAAAAAGGGTGCCCTTTTTTTTTGCGGAAACCACCACGTGTCGTGCTTGTGTGGCTGCTCTTCCCAGGTATAGGTCTTCGCGTGGTATTCGGGTGAGGTAAGCATACTTAAACTGTCAAAGCCTTCATCTCCAGTTGTTTTTGATGGGCTTCTCGTCCTTTTGTCTCACTCCGAAGGAGCCGCACAGAGCCCCACCTGGGTTGGAGCCGCCCACCTCTGCTCGTCAGGAAGCGCGGGGCTGTTCGTTCTTTCGGCTTCACTAGTCGAGGGTAGTTGGGGTGTTCCGCCTTATACTAACAGTCCTTAGTAGTGATTCTCATAGGGCGTACCATCATCGCTAGTAAGGACTGGTAGTATGAGGGGGACGAGTTTTCCTCTGGACATGATTCGGATGCTGCTCCATGAAGCCCTGAGACTGAGACTGCGACAGGACCGACAGCGAGCCTCTGGTTTAGGGTTGAGGGTTTTGGGTTTTGGGTTTTGGGTTTAGGGTTTAGGGTTTCGGGTTTAGGGTTTAGGGTTTAGAGTTGAAAGCATGGGCAACCCCAAAGACGAGCTGGCTAACTGCGACTAACTGCTTCCTCGCGCCCAAGCTTGGAGCCCCTGAAGCCCTGCACGTCTGGATTCGTGCAAGATTTACAGGGGTTTTGGGGTTTCCGGTGTGTTTGCTGAGGCTCTTGGACTAAGACACAAAATCGCGGGACGTGTAAGAAAGTGCATTGAGCAGAACCGCGGCAAATATTCGGCCCTAAGGTGTAGACGGCGTCTTACAACAAACCTGGGATTCTAAGCGACACATTTAGGGCTTAGGCTGGCGCTCAAAGAACCTTGAGTGTTTACCAACCGTGAAGTAGAAGGCCGTCACACTGTAAGTTAGCTCCGCGCTCTACAGAACCTCGATGCAGTTCTTGTCTAGCTGTGTCTGTCAACCCAGTGCTGCTACTTTGCCCCCGAACTTAGCCGGCAGGAGGCTGTCATTGAATTGGAAGCCTTGCTGATGGACGACAGCTTGGCGGACGAGGACGCTCCCAAGGCCACCCTGGTGAACAGTCAAAGCAAAGATTTCAGACAGCATAATGGGGGCGGGGGGTATTTAATAGTACAAATATTATTAATATGAATAATATGATTAATATAGATAATATTACTATTATTATTCTTGATATTAATAATATTAGGGGCTAGGGGGGGGTTAATTATTAGGGGGAGTACATGCTCCGTGTAGAGCTCTTTGGGGGACTGGCCTTTGCGTTGTGCGGAAGACTTCTCAGATCGCCCTGCCTCTGAATGCCAGGATGCCCCGTAGTGCCTTTTTTTTTTTTTTTTTTGGGGGGGGGGGGGGGGGGTGTTGGCTCCCTTAGAGAACCCCTTTGAGCAAAACAGGGCACGCTTTTTAATCCAAGCTTACTGGGCAACCTAGAATTATGATTTAAGTAGAACCGTGAACCTTCCATCCTTGAATGTCAGTCTCGGATCATTCGCTTCGCTACCAGAGGGGGCGTATTGAAGAATCAGACGAAGCCAAACCGGTTGTATTCAAGAGCTTTGAGAGAAAGTTCATTAGGGCTCAATGTGCCCTACACATCATGAGATTTTGCAGTTTATAGCTTCTCCAGAATTCCACGTTTATATGGCAAGAAAGCAAAGAAAAACTCGTGCCGCATCCTGAATAAAGGCTGCCTGGAACAAACCCTAAACCCTAAACCCTAAACCCTAAACCCTAAACCCTAAACCCTAAACCCTAAACCCTAAACCCTGAACCCTCACAAAAACGGCATCTTGCCTTTACAGGGCAGAGCTTCAACTCAGGCACTTCAAGTTCCAAAGCCCAAGCGGCTGACGCACTGGAGCAACATCAGCATCCGCAATAAGAACCCTGAACCCTGAACCCTAAACCCTAGACCCTAAACCCTAAACCCTAAACCCTAAACCCTGAACCCTAAACCCTAAACCCTATAACTCCAGTGAGTATGGGCTCCGCTAACTGTCGCTTCCCTGAAGGCGCAGGCACAGGCAGCCAATCACGAACTGCCCTCGGCTCAGTCTGGTCGAAAGCGCACCAAAACGGCGTTAAAGTTCCTCAACCGTAAGCCCTAAACCCTAAACCCCAAACCCCAAACCCCAAACCCCAAACCCCAAACCCCAAACCCTAAACCCTAAACCCGAAACCCGAAACCCAGGAAATGCCCGAAATCTCCCCTGGCTGAGGCCGTCCGCCAAGCGCAAGGCCAAGGCTCAGAAGGCACTCGCCTTGGAGTTCGAGGGGGGGTTGCGGGGGGGGGGGGGGGGGGGAACTGTTGTGTTTAGTAGTTAGGGTTTAGGGTTTTGGGTTTGGGGTTTTGGGTTTTGGGGTTTGGGTTTGGGGTTTTGGGTTTAGGGTTTAGGGTTGGTGCTTTTTTAAGGTCACTACAATTCGCCGTGGAGTTTGCAGGTGTGCGTGGCTGTGGGGTTTAGGGCCGAGCCGGCCTTGGACAGAAAGGTTCACAACTTGAGATCATTGTTGGGGTGCCAAGATCATTGTGTTTTGTGGCAGGGGCTTCGGATTCAGGGTTTTGAGTTTTGCGAGTTGAGCTTGGAATGCTCAGGCAGTTCAAGGACAGCTTGGCAAGTTGTGTAAATAAAGAGGGCCGTTCAGCTTGAAGTAGCCGGGTGACCTTGCATCCCAAGAACAGATGTCTGTGCAGTCTGGCCACGAAGGCTCTATGCAAAACCGCGGTCCCTTTGCATGCTCAGTGGCTTTGAAAGAGTGTGCCGGGCCCGGACTCAAACACCGCAAGCCACCTGTTCTCGACGACTCGTACCCCTCGGAACAGACGAGGTCCCGGTGAGGGTTCACAACTCTGGACGAAGTTCACTTCCCTAAAGGCCAAACAAGCACACGGCAGCCCCTTACTATAGAAATCGGAAACAAATGCAAACAGTGCTCCCTTATGGACTCTACACAACTACTCTGTACCAACCCCCTAACCCTCCAGACCCTATTCTAACCATTAAGGCCCCTGTGCCAGAATCCCTGGAGTTTTTGGAGCTCCTGAGGCACCGGCTGCCGTGGCCTTGCAGGGGCAGGGGTATGCTCAAGTAGCCGAGCACCTGGAAGCAGCCCCTCGCCCTCAGTTTCGTGGGTTTTTTTGGGGGGGCTGAGGGATTGCAGGGTTCGGGGTTTTCGGGGTTGCAGGCGACTTGTGGGGGATTTGAGTCGCTTGATTCTGTAGGGTTTGGGGAATTTGGGGGCTTCTGGGTTTTGGGGTTTTGCGCTGCGCTTAGGGAGTTGCACAGGGTGTCAGAAGACTTGTACAAATCAGTTTTGCCTCCACCTTCCAGTGCTTGCAAGCATTCGGTTCTCACTTCCAGGAGCTCCTTCGGCCCGAGGTCTTAGCGACCGAAAACGTGCTACGCTGTGTAACTCCAAGCCATCCTTAGGATAGCTTCGCTTCAGCCATAGGCTCCTGACTCTTTTCCTTCAGATCTCAGATCGACTTCGTGCGAGCAGTGCGGAAAACGACTACCACTTCTTGCATCACATTTTTGGCGACAACAGATTTCCTGGAAGCCACATAGAAGAGGAGAGCCCAACACGCTGACCGATACTGGCAGCGGAGCTCGATCCAAGAGCTCGCGGTGGTGACCAGACGAATCTGTTTTGGACGGCTGGGGCTCCCGGTCTTCCCCACTTGCCTGTGAAGGGCAGAGTTTGTCTTCGGCGACATGGAGAAAGACTACGATGCTTCGCTGACTCGGTGCAGTTGGGACGGTGATTCCGCTGGGTGGACGGACTTCGTCAGAAGGGTCCGGCTACTTTATGAGAAGACACCAAGGAAGAAGCGTCGACAATTCGGTCCCTCCATTGTTGCCCAACTTCGCGATAGAGCATGGACAATAACGCAAGACGTCAACCACCAGAAGCTGACTCGCCGTGATGGCTCCGTGTACCTGTTGGAGTTCCTCCGAGATCGTCTCGGACGGTCTCCGATTCCTGATGTCGGAATCAGGCTAGAGGAGCTCATGATCAGGCTCCGTCGAAGCCCCGGCACTGCAATGAGTTCGTGGGCCTCACAGGTCCGCCAGACATACAAGCGGGTGCAGGTGGCTTTGCATCGAGCCCGTAAAGAACATGGACTTCCCGTCAGCCAAGAACCTCAGGTTCGTGAAGCCGTCCCTCCTCGGCAACCTTCAGCTCCCTCTTCTCCAAGCAATGCCTCCCGGCGTGATCGAGGATCTCCGACGCGCAGAAGCAGCGAGACAACCCAGGAACCGACAGCAGAGGAAGAGGGGCAGCCCGAAGAGGACGCCTTCGATGCGGAGTATGACGAGACCGAGTTTGAGCTTCGAGATGCTGGCCCTAAGAGGAGCTGGCAGAAAGGACGAAAGAAGAAACCGGATGACGATGACGACGACAGCGACGACAGCGCCCAGATGATGAAGGACTTGGAGGTGTGGGACCGCTATGAGGAAGGCCTGGAGGAAGTGTTGCCAGGAGAAGTCCTTGGCTGGCTGCTTCTTCGTCGTGCCAACCTCCCGACAAGTGCAAGACTCTCCATCCAGGCTGCGGCAGGAAACTCTCTCCTGTTCACCGACGTCGAGAGGGCCATGCGGTCTATGGAAGATGAGTTGATGGTGCATGATGAGGCCAAGCGGAACCATCAACCCCGCCGCAGGTCTTTCTGGGTGGAGGAAGAAGGCGAATGGAGCCTCGTGATGGCGCCGGAAGAGGACTTGCAAGAGCTAGTTTCTTCCAGTGAGGTCCACTACGTGGGTTCTCGGCTTCCCCCAGAGGTGTACTACCACCATGAGCCGGAGCCGGCCAGCTACCATGGCGAAACAGGCTTCTGGCATCAGGATGATGATGGTGCATTCTCCTTCTGGGAAATGGCTGAGGACGGCGAGTTCTACACCCAGGACACGACAGGACTTTATGGGCCTGGCATGATTGGGAGGATTTCAGTGGTGGCACCTCGACGGCTCCTTCCGATGCCACGCGCGACGCTGAAGATGCCTTTTCCCTCCAAGATCCCAAGTCTCGCAACTTCACTCAAGCGAGACAAGCAGTCAAAGCCCGAAACCTCAGTCGGGGTTTTTATCCTTTCAATCCTGGGAGTAAAGGGAAGCCTCGTTTCAAAGGTAAGGGCAAAGGTAAAGGGAAAGGAAAGCCGTCCTTTCCTCGTTCTCCTCCAGCTCCCATCTTGGCAGCGACCTCCGACATCTTTGCTCAGCCTGGAGATCCATCCTTCTCAGGCTGCTTCGTGTGTGGATCGAAGGAACACTCGTGGAGGTCGTGTCCCAAGAGGTCCTCTACTGGCAAGGGCTCCTCCAAAGGCAAGGGCGCCCGCAACTTCATGGCTGAGGGTATCTTCATGGTCTCCCCCGACTCCCCGCGCGAGATCCTCCAACCCGACAAGGGCATCTCCACGATCCGCGACGGGGACAAGCATGAGATCCTTGACACAAGGACCCCAAGCGACATGTGTTTGGATTTTCGGTGGGGTGGACTTCAAGACACTTCATACGTGGTGACTTCACACCAAATTGATGATGCTTTTGCTTCGGGACAAGGGGAGGCTCAGCCCAGGGGACACGCGGTCATTGACTCAGGAGCAACTGAGACCGTCGGCTCGCTCCCTGCTATCGAGGACTTGATGGCAGTTAGATATGAACTAAATGGCGTCCCCGACTCCTTTCAGATATCCTCAACTCCTCCCAGGAGATTTCGATTTGGAAACGGATCGATTGGTTTTTCCTTGTCACAAATGTTCATTCCTCAGGACTTGGGTCCCGTCCGTGTGGATCTAGGAGTGTTTTCTCTGGACGTGGAGAATGTCCCAATCTTGATCGGCATAAAAACTCTCAGGGCTCTGCGCACCGTGCTGGATTGCCATCAGGATGTGGCGGTGTTTGCTGCACTGGACCCCTCCACAGGGGTTAAGCTGCGTAGAAGTCCCTCAGGACATTTGTTGATCGATTTGAGTCGCAATTGGTTGCAGGATTCCTTCTCGATTCTTTCTCCGGCAGCGAGGATTCCTGAGGTGCCTCCCACAACCTTCGAGGCAGAAGAAAACATCGGTGCAGTGTTTGTGCTTGAGCCTTTGCCATCTGATTTCCAAGCTCGAGGGGATACTCATCTTGAATATGAAGCAGCGCCTGAATCTCCTTCTTCGTGTCCTGCAGTTCTCTTTCACTCACGAGGGTGTGCCGATAGTGCTCCTGGAGAAGACTCCAGTGGGTGCCTTGAAGATCCCTTTCGAATCCTTCGTGCTCTTGTACGGGGCCATGGCCACTCCGACTGCCGAGAGCAGCGGCTTGTCTGCGGCTGCGGTGGAAGCTTCAGTGGCCAAGGCCAAAGCTGCGGTGAAGCCTGCAGCGTCAAGGGGAAGGGGAAAGGCACCAAGCCCAAAGCAGAGCCTGCCCCCGAGTTGGACTGGAGCAGGATCGAAGAAGCCAATCCCAGGGACGTGCGCTTGAAGGGACCCCCATGTATGGGACCCCACGTCGTGGCGACAAGGAGCAACCAACATGCCACGTGGCAACTCTGCACCCGGTGCAGCCTCAGGCTCACCTACATCCCCCGGGTTGGCAAGACAGGTCTCCACCGTGCCGCCCGACCCCTCAACCTCGATGTCCAGGAGGTGGTGACCGAGACCAAGGAGGATTTGGCTTTCAACCCTCGCCTGAAGGATCAGGCCATCGCTCTTCAAGCTGCAGAGAACAGCGTGGTGCGCCAGCTCGAGAAGATCAGGACGCAGAAGGACAAAGTGATCCCCAAGCAGGGCCCAATGGGAGCAAGCCCTCTGCCACCTTCCTCACCTTCGAGTGCCAACGCCGGAGCTGCGAGCCCAAAGTCGACCGTTGTGGTGAACCTCGAAGAGGCGAGTGCAGAGGGTATGAACCAGACTCCTGGGAACAAGCGACATCAAGCGATCCCAGCGGAAGAGCAGGAGTATCAGACGAGAACCCAGGGCCCGCAGTGATGCATGTTGTGAAGCAAGGCGTGCGAGAGATTGAAGACCTCGCTCGCCAGATGTGCCACGACCAACTCTTTTCCTTCAAAGATTGTGAACAGCTTCTTTTCCAGCTCATGGCTGTCCGTGAAGCCATCTCTCAGAGCAACCGCAGTACTCTTGAACCGAAAAATGGGACTGGGTACAACGTTTTCGGCCTCTTTTCACATGGGAACATGTCCGGCATCGCTCGAAAGAGTCACGAGCTTCCATGGTTGTGCAAGTACGTGAACCTCTTCGGCAAGCACCACCTTGCTCAGGAGGGATCATGTTGGACAAGTTTTGCGGTGAACTTTAATCAGCCCATGAACATCCATCTTGATCCCAACAATGATCCTGGTAGCAGCAACTTCACTTGCTCCTTCGGAGACTTCAAAGGGGGACAACTATGGGTGGAGTTGACTGAAGATAGCGATCCCAGTGTGAGCCCGGTGCGATGGAAGACCAAGCGTAACGGTCAACGAGTACCAGGCCATCTTCATACAACCAGACATCGTTTCATTCAGTTCTCTCCAAGAGTTTTCATGCGACTGATCGCTGGTCAGGTACCAGAATCTCTTTGACCTTTTACTCCTCTCGGTTGATTGCTCAGAGTACGGAAGCCCGACGGGAATGCCTCAAGAAACTGGGGTTTCCTTTGCCCAGGTCCGTCAGGCCTTTGAAGTACGACGACAACGAGGGCGAGGACGCCTATGCCGTTGATCCAGTTGAGGGACAGGGCGCGGGAGAAGTTCTCTTGTGCCAGGATGTCCGTCACCTTCTACAAGCCTCGTGCGAGGAAGTGTGGGATGAGGTCAACTCACTTCTTGATGTGCATGGCAGGGACCCTCACTGTTTGCAGGTCGTGGAGTTCGGCGGCCCTGCTGACAGTCCTCTATGCTCTCTTTTGGGACAGCAAGGTGGACAAGGGTTGTCAGCAAATCTCTCACAGGGTTTTGACTTGGGCACTCGAGGTGGATGTCATAGAGCTCACCAGCAACTGGAACAGCGAAGCCCGGCTTTCGCATGGTTCCAACTTCCGAAAGGACCTTGCAGGCAAGGAAGTGACTCAGACAGACGACAGCGTGCCATGGTGAATCGATCCCGCAAGGTGTTGAGGAATGTGATCTCCCTTTCCCAACAACAACTTCGTCGTGGAGAATGTGTCTGGGTCTCAGAAAAGCATTCCAGTGCTTGGCGAGATCGTGACTCATGCCAGTTCTGGCAGACTCTTGCAGAATCCGGAAAGGCCTTCGAGTGGCAGCACGGAGATCTACAAATTCGAACCACGTCAAAGGCGATGTTCCTGGATTGCTCTAGGGTGTCTTCAAAAATGGAGAGTGTAGAGAACCAGTGGGATTACCTGTATCGTGCCTTCTGTGGGTCAGTCATGAACTTTCATGGGGCTAGCTCAGCCTCAGGAGAAGGGAACCCCGTCTATGCCGTGACGGCCCAGAAAGAAGCTCTTGAAGGCGTGGATAAGAAGGAGCTGGAAAGCTTGTTAGACACCGTGCAGAAGCTTCATCGGAGGTTCGGACATCCTTCCAACAGCCTCCTCCTCAAGAACCTTCGAGCCAGAGGTGCATCTCCTAAGCTGTTAGCCGTGGCCGCTGAGTTTAAATGTGACATGTGCATGGAGAACCAGATTCGCACTTCAGCTCCCGCGGTCAGTCTGAAGCGTGAGGATCGATGGTTTCTATATGCGAATTGGCCAGGAAGTGTTCCACTACTTGCTCATGGTCGATGAGGCCTCCGGCTTCTGCGTAGTAGAAGAGATGATAAGGCACCCCGAGAAAGAGATGAGGCACATGACGACCGCCCAGGTATGCCGGACCTTGGAACTTCGCTGGTGCCAGATCTTTGGGTTTCCTGAAACCATCAAGCTCGATCCCGAGGGAGCTTTCAGAGGACTTGATCTGGGAGAATACTGCTCGTCCCGAGGCATCGAGCTCAGTGTCATTCCTGCCGAGTACCACGAAGGGATCTCCGAGGTCGAGCGATCCATTGGGACAATTCGTAGGAAGATTGAGGCCTTCATGCGCCAGGAACAGTATCATCCTACGAGGGCGGCTGCGCAGATGGTGGCTGCACACAATACCATGGCCAGAACCCTGGGTTTTTCTCCAGCCCAATGGGCCTTCGGTAGAGACGGGACATAGCCGTGAACGTCCTGGAGAGGTCTGCGCCCAAAGTGCTATGTCCGACCCTTCCCATGGCATGGCAGAATCCCTTGAGCTACGCACCAGGGCAGAGAAAGCCTTCATCGAAGCTCGAGCTCGAGAAGTGATGTCAAGGGCAATGAATTCCCGAACAAGGCCAGCCAAAAGATTCTTGCCTGGGGACATCATTTTCTACCAACGATTCCAGGTTCCGCAGGATGCTCCGGCCAACTCGGTGGTGGACCGTCCCCGGATGGGGATAGCCCGCTTCTATGGACCAGCCCGAGTGTTGGCCACAGAGACTCGTGTGGTCTCAGAAGAAGGGGTCCGAAAGCCTAGTGCAATAGTGTGGGCAGTCTGCAACGGCCGGCTTAAGCGCTTTCATCAGAGTCAGGTCCGACACTCCACCGAATCTGAGCGCCTCATCGCCGAGGGTGCAGCAGGTGCCGAGTTTCCGTGGATGTTTGCTTCGTTGGCGAGTCTCCTTGATCGTGGTTCCTTTGACGATGAAACCATCGTTCGCTCCCGAACCCGAGGACGTTCCAAGACTCCGGCCCGATCCAGGTCAGTTCCTCCTGGTCGGCGAGCTGCTCCAGAACCTCCAGTACTCCCTCCTCAGCTTCATTACGGTCCTGAGCCAGAAGCCGAGGACTTTGAAGAAGAAGAGGAAATGATTCCAGTCCCTGCTGAGATGTCACGAGGCTCAAAACGTCCGGATCCGGAGCCTCCTCATGATGATGAGGCGGAGATGATCCCTGTGCCGCAGGCTCACAATTCGCTGGTGGAAAATTTGGACATGAGTCGTTTCTTGAATGATCCTCAATACCTTCCCGCGAACTTTGTGACCTTGGATCAGGAAGAGAGTGAGAGTTCTGCCTATGTCATCCAGAATGCCTCATGCGCCTCCTTGCAGGACGAGTCCCCTGCGTTTGCAGTCACCCTCGCTGCCCCATCGAGCGAGGCCGAGTGGAAGGCCCTCGTGAAGAATCCCAAACGATTCATCGCGAAAAGCGTCCAAAAGGGCGTAGAGGTCAGCTATGCCAAACTTAATGGGGTACAGCGTGCTGCAATGGACGAGGCCATGAAGGTCGAAGTGGACAACTGGATGAAGACCCAGGCTGTGAGGGCAGTTCAGAAGTTTCTGCCTCAGAGAGAGTTGCTCAAAATGCGATGGGTTCTCACTTTCAAAAGTGCTCCTGATGAATCTGCTGAGCCAAAGGATGGACAACCTGCGAGCGATCCCCCCAAAGCCTCTGGAGAGCGGATCAAAGCCAAGGCTAGAATTGTCATTCTCGGCTACTCCGATCCGAATCTTCTGGAGGCCAATACGGTGAGCCCAGCTATGTCACGTCTTTCTCGGCAACTTCTGTTAAACATGGCTTCAGTTCGAAAGTGGGACATCTTGTGTGGGGATGTGAAATCGGCCTTCTTACAGGCAAAATCTCCACAAGGGCAGAGGTGCGTGTTCGCGGCTCCAGTTCCCGAGCTGGCGCATGCGCTCGGCCTACAAGAAGGACAGGCAGTGCAGCTCCTACGCAGCTGCTACGGATTGGTATCCGCCCCAAGAGAATGGTACGAAGACGTACATAGGACTTTGGTCAGCTTAGGTGCCGAAACGCTTACCACCGACAGCTGTGTGTGGCGCATCCGGGATGCTTCAGGCGCTGTGGTTGGACTTGTGTCCAGCCATGTTGACGACTTCTTAATGACGGGATGCTCCTCCTCAAAGGCCTGGCAAGACTTCTTGCACGGCTTCAAGAATGCCTATGAATGGAGTCCATGGGAGCATGGAGCCTTTCGACATTGTGGTGTCAACATCATGCAGCATCCTGACCATTCTGTAAGCTTAGACCACTCCAGTTTCTGCCAGGAGTTGAAGCAGCTCGACCCGATCCGTGAAGAGCGCAAGTTGACTCTTGCGGAAGTCAGCCAGGTGCGTGCCGTGTTGGGAAGTGTGCAGTGGAGAGTTTATCAAAGTGCTCCACAGCACGCTGCTAAACTTAATTATCTGCAATCTCTCATCGCTTCGCAAGATTCCAGCATCGTGGAACAGGTCAACAAGTTGATCCGTGAAGTGTATTCAGCTCGAAGTTTGTCTGTTCAGGTGCAATCTTTGGGAGCAGAGGATCCCGAGCAGTTATGCATGATCGCATGGTCAGACGCTTCTCTTGCGAATCGTCCGGATTTCTCATCCACAGGAGGGCATTTAATTGCTCTAATGCATCAGCAGTCTCTCGAGGCTGGAATGGGACGCGTCAATCCTATCGCCTGGAAGAGTGGAAGATTGCACCGAATAGCCCGTAGTTCTTTGAGTGCAGAATCACAAGCCCTTGCTGACACAGAGCAGGAGCTTTTCTTTGCTCGCTTAGAGTGGCGGGAGATGATCGGCGACTATGTCGATGCCAAGGTCCCAGAGAATACGGCGGCCAAGGTCCCCTCATACCTTGTGGTCGACGCAAAGGCCATGTTCGATACGTTGTCGAAGGGTGTCTTCGTTGCCAGTCAAAAGGATAAGTATACTGGTTTGGAACTTTTGTCGTTGAGACAGCATCTAGAAAAACAAAAGACAGTGCTTTTGTGGTGTGATAGCAACCACATGCTGGCGGATGGTTTGACGAAGGCTAGCAAACAAGATGTGCTCAAACGTTTCCTGGCATCTGGATATTGGAGGATCCGTTACGATGGAGCCTTCATTTCAGCGAAGAAGAGACGTCAGATGTTGAGGGAGCCTGCTGCGGAGAATGTGACAAACTCTGTTTTTCTTCAGTGTACAGAGCAGGCGCAAGCACTGAAATGCTTCGGCATTCTTCCTGGGGGCATGTCAGAAGACTTGTACAAATCAGTTTTGCCTCCACCTTCCAGTGCTTGCAAGCATTCGGTTCTCACTTCCAGCAGTGCGGAAAACGACTACCACTTCTTGCATCACATTTTTGGCGACAACAGATTTCCTGGAAGCCACATAGAAGAGGAGAGCCCAACACGCTGACCGATACAGGGTGTGAGCTGTGCCTGGCTCAGGAGCGCCGCTGCTTGCTGAAGGGCCTTGAGGGTTCAGAATTCACAATGCTGGTTTTTGACTGGTTTCCGGAGCTGCTTGTGTTAGGCTATGAAGCTAGGGAGCATCTCCCGAGGGTTTAAGGCTTCTTGAGGATGCAGAGTTTTGCGCTGCCTGGCCTAGGGGTGCCGGTTTTGCCTGTGCTTGCTGTAGTTTGTTCGCCTTGTTTCGGCTGCATGGTGTTTGGTTACAACATCGTGATTCCCTCAGCCCTGCACCCAAAATGTCATAAATCCCTACATCCTCAAACCTACACACACCTAAACCCTAAACCCTAACCCTAAACCCTAAACCCTAAACCCCCTCTTGGGACGATTGGCAGAAGGTACTGCCTGCCTCCACAGGAGCTGACGAAGCGCAGCTCTCATGGGGGCTTGAGTTGGGGATTAGGGTTCAGGGTTTAGGGTTCAGGGTTCAGGGTTTAGGGTTCAGGGTTTAGGGTTCAGGGTTTAGGGTTTAGGGTTTAGGGTTTAGGGTTTAGGGTTTAATTTTGGGTTTAGGGGTTAGGGTTTAGGGTTTGGGGTTTAGGGTTCAGGGTTCAGGGTTTAGGGTTTGGGGTTTGGGGTTTAGGGTTTAGGGTTCAGGGTTCAGGGTTTGGGTGTGAGTGTCGGGCTCTTGAAAATGGCATCTGCAACCACAAAGACGTAGTCGCAGCTGTGTTGGTGGTGTGTCCGCCTTCTAGGGGTCACTGAGAGACACGGCGTTTCAGTTTAGGTTTCAAGGGTTCTTCTGGGGCTTTGGAGGGTTCAGGGTTTAGGGTTTAGGGTTTAGGGTTTAGGGTTTAGGGTTTAGGGTTTAGGGTTTAGGGGGGTTCAGGCATCATCCGTCGGGTTCCGAGAGGGGTTTGAAGCGGACGTGTTTCGAGCCTGTGGGGTTCCCCACCCTCCCAACCCGAAGGCCCCGCACCCAACTTCCAGTCGAAGGATCCCTAATCCCTAAACCCTAATCCCTAAACCCTAAACCCTAAACCTAAACCCTGATTGCAGCTCAAGGTGTCCTTAAGTCCTTTGGGGCCACGAGGTAGACGCCCTGAAGCTGCGACACCCCAGCCCTAAACCCCATGAGCCTTCGAAACCGAAACGAAGATCCCTCAAAAACTCTAAACCCTAAACCCTAAACCCTCAACCCTCAACCCTCAACCCTAAACCCTAAACCCTAAACCCTAAACCCTAAACCTAAATCCCTCAAAAACTCTGAGTTCAAGGTCGCCGCGGTTTCACAAAGCAAGGCCCCCGCACCCAAAAGCCTCCGAAACCGAAAAGCGGGATTCTGCCTTTATGAGCCCCCGAATGGCAACCTAAAAACCCTTAAAAAGGCCCTATATAGGGTTGATTATGGGGATTATAGGGCCGACCTTCCCCCTCTTTCTCCCTAAACCCCCCCCCCCCCTTTTTTCCCCCTTTTTGTTTCCCCCTTTTTGCCCCCTTCTTTTCCGCTTTTTTTGTTTTTTTCATCTTTGTTCCTCTTTTTTTTCATCTTTTTTTTCATCTTTTTTTTCATCTTTTTCCCCCTTTTTTCCCCCCTATTTCCCTCTTTTTTCCCGCTTTCCCCCCCTTCCACAGGCCGACTCGGGGCCTGCCGCGCCGTCCGCCGCGCGAACATTGGAAGCACTGGAGGCCCAGCTGGCCGCCGCCGAGCGGGAGAAGCTCGGCGAGTTAGGGTTTGGGGTTTGGGGTTTAGGGTTTAGGGTTAGTGGGCGAGTTGAGGGGGGGTTAGTTGAGGGGGCGAGTTGACGGGGGGCTTTGGAGTTGAGAGTTTCGGTTTTGGGTCGGAAGGCTTCAGGATTGTGAGGGCTTTGGGGCTTGTTTGAGCCAAAAAGGCTGCACAGGCCAGGATTAAGGCGGTAGGGGTTGGGGTTGAAGCGTGCTTTTGGGCCCAACTCAAGGAAGGGTGGCGAGGGCTACATCGACTTGCTGCGCCACTACGCGCACAGCCGCCTGGACAGAATAGGGCAGCTTCAGATGTCTCAGGTTCCAATGGGGTTGCACGTCCTGGAATGGACTTCGCGAGCCGCTAGCACTTTCATTACTCCATAGATCTCAAATTTGAAAGTGGCAGCCACGTTCAAAGCGGGACGTCTTTCTTTATGCCCATGAACCACAGAAAACAATGGGATCCAATCTGTCACATCTGTTTCGATGGGCAGCGCATGTACGTTGTTCTGAGCTGTGGTGGCATACAGTAGTGTTACACGTACGTAACATGTGTACTCACGCTTATCTATCTGTATACACATATAATGTGATGTTTGCAATGTAATGCAGCCACGCAGTGCAATTAATGCAATGACATGCAATGAAATGCAATACAATGCAATGTAATGCAATGTAATGCAATGTAATGCAATGTAATGCAATGTAATGCAATGTAGTGCAATGTAGTGCAATGTCATGCAATGTCATGTCATGTAATGTCTTGTAATTAGTGTACTGCAGGCTGTGTGCACGTGTGCCGTATGTCTGCAACAAATATGTGCGCCAGAACGTGGGTTTGTTTATTGGCGTGACATGTTGACCACAGCTCTTGGGATGTTCCCCCTACTAACAGTCCTTAATAGGGATTGTAGTACCCCCTATTTGAATCCCTACTAAGGACTGTTTTCGTATATCGGGAAATATCCCAAACTTTATGGATCTTTGCCTTTTGCCATTCTCTGCACCCAACCCTGCACAGAAATGAAGGACCTCACACAGGATCGGACAGCCGGAATGATGATGCGCCTTCCAGGATAAAAGCCCAGACTGTTCAGGGCTCAAGCTAGCCTGCACAATGTCGTCTTTCGTCTTCTCCTGACAACTCACCTATGGTCTCGAGCTTGACTTGATCTGACAATGCCAAGATAGAACTTGGAGACCGCAGTGACCGCAGCCGAACACGAATCCCAGCAAAGCTGTGGCCGAGGCTACTCGCGGCGTCAGCGCGGGTTGCGGCGATCTGCCTTGGGGCCCCGGCCATCGCCGGAGGATTCGCGGGAGTTCCCGGGACGTGTGAAGGGCTTTGGGGACTTTGCAGTTGTATAGGGCTTAGAAGTGTCAGGTTCCGGGTAAGGTTTGGGGTTAAGGGCTAGGATTCACAGATTTAGGGGTTGAGGGTGGGGCACGTTGGTGACTTTAGTGTTTTCAGGGATCTGCCTGGCCGCCCTGACCTTAAGCCCGGAGTGGTAGAGTTAAATGCCAAACCCTCTTCCCCAAATTAGTACGTGTAGCTAGCTGGTTGGAGCATTCCGCCGCAGCCCTTGAGGACGTCAAACACCTGGAAGCCGCGTTCAGCAAGGACGTGCAAGAGCTGGGTGGCTCGGGGCGAAGAAGATGTTTAGGGTTTAGGGTTTAGGGTTTAGGGTTTAGGGTTTAGGGTTTAGGGTTTAGGGTTTAGGGGCCCCAGATTCTAGACCCGATACCATGCCTTGACAATTCCAAACCCTCAAGTCGAAAGCCGCAAAGCCGCAAGCACCGAGGAGTGGATGTGTGGCCTTTAAAGCGGTCGAGGTCGTTTCGTGCGGCAAAACCCAAGCTTTTCACCCTAAACTCTACAGCGACCATTCTTAGAGCTGGTTGCTTCGCCCGAAAGCAGCTGGCGTCAAGGGTTGGGGCCTTGATGCGTGAGATCACTGTGTTCGAAATGCGAGGTGCCCCAAAACCAACGACTCCAAACCCGACTGTAAACCCTGCAACAAGTCCTCCCCCCCCCCCACCGGGGCACGCTACCGCTATCGCTATGGCACATGTCTTCGAACGTCTTGCATCGTCCCAGCCAAAGCCAACCCAACCAAGCCATTTGTTGTTCAACCGGTGCCATCTTCCCCGCTTCGCGGGCCTTTTGGGTCCGTCGGACACTTGGCAATGTGGGGGCTTTGTACCGGGACTATTGCGAACGGATCGACACCCCCCCCCCCCCCCCTAAAACCTGGCCCTAAACCCTAAACCCTAAAGCCTAAACCCCCCCCAAACTGTTGAGGCTACCTCTCTCCTGACTGCGTGCTGCTCGAGCTAGACTTGGCATGCAAGCTCCGCCGGCTGGTGGCAGAAAGAGGATGTTGGGTTTAGGATTTAGGGTTTAGGGTTTAGGGTTCAGGGTTTAGGGTTTAGGGTTTAGGGGGTTCGGGCGGTTTCACAACTTGCACAAAGTTGCGGAATGAACAACTGCTGAGCGGGCTTCGGGGCCAAAACGCATTCGTAAACCCTTTGACCCGCAGCAGCAACCCGGCAGCAAAAAACTCCAAGGAAATTTGAGAACAGAGGCGAGCTACGCCCCATTAGCCCCCATTACCCCCTATCACCCCCATGACCCCCCTCTCAGTCCCTACTACCCCCCATACTATCCCCCTACTACCCCCGGTTCAAGGTTTTGCGGGGCTTAGAGGGAACCCCTCTAAACCCGAAACCCTAAACCCTAAACCCTAAAAACTAAACCCTAAACCCTAAACCCTAAAAACTAAACCCTAAACCCTAAGCCCTAAGTGTGCCTGTTAAACACAAAGCCGTCAAGGCTCCTTCAAGATGACTGGATGACTTAGGCTTCGTTTGGGCCAAGTTAGGCTCATTCCCAAGTTGGGGTTTCTGGTTTAGGGTTTCTGGTTAAGGGTTTAGGGTTTAGGGTTAAGGGATGTTAAGGGTTTAGGGGTTAGGTGCATTAGGGACCCTTCAAAGAGGCCTGTAGCGACACGCAGACGGATGAAAGCCTTGACTTGAGTCTGACCTTCGAGCCCAACTTCTTCCTCCAAGCACTGCAACGGGCACATGGGTAGTTTTCTAAATTAAGGTCCCTGTTGGGATCTCTTTTTAAAGGGTGCCGCCTTATAAGGGGTACCCAAAAAGGGACCCTAATTTCGGAAACTACCCGGATCACGGGCCATAGAACGTCGTGGTGTTTGGGTGTACGAAAAGGCACGTTTTACCTGGGTTTTGGCATAGTTCCTCAAAAATCAGTCTTCAGGACGCACAAAAAAACTACATGATTTTCTACTAAATTCTTACTGTTACGTTGTCTTTCGGTTTCCGAGATTGCGTGTGTGAGCCCGGAGTGTAAACCCTTAAAGGTCAAGTCTGCAGCCCGTAGAGAGACAAAAACACTGTAAGTACCAGTGTTTTTGGCATGGTCGCCAAAGGCAAGGACGCTTGTGAATGCTTTTCTTGTTCCACATCCTTGTGCAGTATGTTGTACAAAGTGGCGAAAATGCTGTAAATACCAGTGTTTTCGCGGTAAATACCAGTGTTTTGGGCATGGTCGCAAAAAGGCATGGACGCTTGTGACAACGCGTCTTGTTCCACAACCTTGCGCGGTATGTTGTACACACTGGCGAAAACGCTGTATATTCCAGTGTTTTGGGCATGGATGCAATATGAATGATGTTCTTATCCCCCCCCCCCACCCCCCCCCACCACCCCCCCCCCCCCCCCCCCCCCCAACCCCCCCCCGAGTCCATAAACCTCGGCAAAAGCCCTGAAATGCCGGAAACACCACGGCGTTCTAAGGCCCGTGGTCCAACTACCCACATCTTAGCATCCGATAGAGTCTTCCAAAGTGCTCCGACGGTTCTTGCACCGAATCCTAGAAGCCCCTTCCGCAGGCTTGGAAACCCTAAACCCTAAACCCTAAACCCTAAACCCTAATTCCCGCAAACCTCAAGCCAAGGTCAGACCCATCCTCACCGGTTCCTCAACGATGCGCGGAATCCGGAGAGAAAGGGGGGTCATCATCCGGTGAAACCCTAAACCCTAAACCCTGAACCCTAAACCCTAAACCAGATGAACTGACATCGAGGATTCCATGGAATGGGTCTTAGTTTGTCTCTTTCATGTCGTTGATTTCTATTCTCTCCTGTGAAAAACGGTGGGTCAGTGAGATCTGCATGTTATATCAAGTTGAAGTAAGGGACAAATACCCAGAGTCAGACCCAACAGTAGAAGACTACTGAACAGTTTCGAAAATTAACATGTTGGGGACATCTTCAATTCGATTTTTGTTTGGGGAATCTTCGTCGCTTTTAAGCTATAGAGGGGTATAAGGGTTTGGCGAAAACTGCTACAGGTTATACCGTGAAGCCCTGTGCTCCATGAACACCTGAACCCTGAAAGTCATCTTGCATAACCCTCATAAACGGAGGTCACCTTTTCTTGACAGTCAACGTTGACAAGTCGGAAAAGGAAGCACGTTAGAAACTCCCCGAACCCAACCCCCAAAGCCCCAAACCCCAGTACTCATAAGAGCCAGAAACCGTAAACCCTAAACCCTAAACCCTAAACCCTAAAGTGCAGGAGGTGGGGAATTTCTTCAAGGGTTTGAACAAGGAACTCTACACGGTGCCTTGGATGAGTTTAGGGACGGGGCAGCAGAGACCTGCTTAGCGTGACAAGACAGGAATGCCGAAGTTCGGGTTTAGGGTTTAGGGCTTAGGGTTTGGGGTAACTTCCTGGGGTCCTTATTCTGAGTAAGGGAATCCTACTATTTGGGGACCTGTGTTGGGGGTCCCCTACTATCGTAAACCCCCAAGAAGTTCTTCAATGGCTCGGCACCTGATGCTTCGGGTTGAGGGCTTCAGGGATGGGACTCCTTCCTGGTGTTCTCAGATCTCCCAATACTGCCACTCCTGAATTTGCAATCCCTGAGCCATTCCAACATCCCGTGTAGGAAGTCCGCCAACAGTTTCGAGCAATATTATAGAGAGTATAGACCAAGAGGCACGCAGCTCTAGTGTCTGAATGCGCGTTCGACAGGATCTCTCAAGACCAACATGTCGGAAATTCTCCGGAAAGAAACCGTTTTTGCTGTTAGCACCCACTTTTTGGATTTCGACCCTGGCTCGAGCCAACCTAACAGAATTGAACTCGTGCGTGAAACATGCTTCTGGGCCGAAATCCAGGCCGAATCGTTTTCGGTATCAGTGCCCCGTGTGTAAAAGTCACCTAAACATTTTTGGTATCAGGGAATACTTTGGGATGTTCCGGGTACTATGATCCCTATGAAGCACTGTTAGTTTAAGGGGGAACATCCCCAAACAATACGACTTACCCTTTTGAGTCAGACCAAATCTAAACCCTAAACCCTGAACCCTAAACCCTAAACCCTAAACCCTTAGGGCCTGAGGTTTGGTAGCGGCAGCCAGGAGCAGACACACGCAACCCCTGCCATCATCATCTGCAATGCAGCTCCAAAGTCCAAACCCTTAGGGTTGAGGGTCTAGGGTTGAGGATTTGGTGTTTAGGGTTGAGGGTTTAGGGAGGTTTAGGGTTTAGGGATGTTTAGGGTTTAGGGTCTAGGGTCTAGGGTTAGGGTTTAGGGTTTAGGGTTTAGGGTTTAGGGTTTAGGGTTTAGGGTTTAGGGTTTAGGGTTTAGGGTTTAGGGTTTAGGGTTTAGGGTTTAGGGTTTAGGGTTTAGGGTAACAAAACTCAGAGCCCCGAATTCCTCTCTCAGGTCGAAGCCGTGCTCCAGACCGCGTTCGCCATGCAGCCGCTGCTCACGATTTCGGATCTGGAGGCTGCAGTCTTGAAGATGCCACTTGGGACTTCCACGAGATTTTTGGGGTTTAGGGTTTAGGGTTTAGGGTTTAGGGTTTAGGGTTTAGGGTTTAGGGTTTAGGGTTTAGGGTTTAGAAGCGGTTCAGCTTCAGATCCAGCGCACCCTTGCATCCTGGCATCATCTTCGCCCCTGAACCCCCAGCACGAGTCATCAGCTCCCGCAGCCTTGGCTTTAAAACAATATTTTCACCGGGCCCGCCGGTGACCTCTGAGGGCTTTCAAGGCTTTAGGGCTTAGGGTTTGAAAGAATCAGGAGCATCATTGTCATTTTGTCATTTATGTTTCCCCCATCCTGTGCACGCACGCGCGCACGTTCGCGCAGGCCCGCGCACAGGTGCGCACCTGCGCACACAGTTGTGGGAAATGACTGGCTGAAGCGGTGTGCGATGCCAACTTGATTCTTTCTTCTTCGTTGCTAAACTGCCAACTGTAGGCCAACTGAATGTCAGCTTATCCATCTCAATCCCTTCTTGCGATCGGTCAACCTTGATCGCTTGAGTGTTAGCAACCATATTGACACCCTTGCATACAAGCTGCACCTTCTTCTTATTGGCGCAGTGGCCTTGCTAAGTTTTGTGTCCCTGCTGATCCCAGCTGCGATATTGCCCCCAAGGACCCACAATTTGTTGTGCACAGGGGCCTTGCCAGTGCTTCTCTTCTGTCGCTGCGGCACTGTGCCTAAGGACCGCAGCTTGTTGGGCACCAGGGCCTTGCTAATACAGAATGCAGCTACGTTGCACGCCTGTCCTTGGATCAAACGTGGGGTTGGGTGTGGTGACCCTGCTTTCTGAAAGCACCGCGTGGACTGGGTGTACGTGCGTGCACATGCACATGCGCTGCAGGCCACACGCATGCCAACGGACAGAGACACAAAACAACAGGGAGACAGGGACGCAGGAACGCAGGGGACGCAGGGACGCAGGGGACATGGAGACTCAGGCCAGCCTTCAAGCAGCAGGGCAAGTTCAAAGACGCGGGCCTGGGGGACCTCGCCCGACATCCCGAGGCCGGAGCTTGCCGGAGCTATCAAAACCCCAAAGTCCAACTCCAAGCCCCGAAGCCTCTCGAAGGATGGAGGCACCTGCTAAGCAATGAGAGAAACTGTCCTGTTTGTGATCAGAAGATGGAACCTTTTCCGCAAGAGCAAGAGGCATGGTGTATTTCATCAGGCCTGAAGGGGCGCATTCGGGACTGAGAACTGTTGTCGAACATTCAGGTTCAGGCGTGATGGGGTTCATCAGTGTTTTCGGCTGGGCACGCCCATCAGCATGTCCCCCATACCTCCCCTTCCCTACACTTCTTACGTAGCCTGCTCTTCACAAGCCTGTCCAAGTCATGTTTTATTTGAACCCAGTATTCCCGGTGGGCATGGCGGCGTCGATAGAAGTTTGCAGTTTGCGAACATCAGAATGCTGTTGGGATGTTTTTGTACGTGCCGGGTAATGTCGGCTTGCTGCTTGCTTGAAGGCCAGCGCAAGGCCAGCGCGACCGCAGCACTTGTGGCAAGCGAAACAGTACGCACCAAGGACACACGCAGACAATCAGAATGTGTGTTGGACCTCAAAAATCATGTGCTTTTCAAGTTGCACAGAGCCGGGCCGAACACACATAAAGTTTAAGGGCACCCTCCTGATGCCATGAGTACGTTGATACTTGGGGACATCATCCTGAGCGGAGATGCTCTGGAGGATCTCCGTCTTTGCGACCATACAATGAATGGCCCATGTGAGTCAGTGCAATTCTTGACAATGTCAGCTTGGACCACCATGCACAGGCATGATGTATTGAAGAATGCATTCATCACGGTTTTAATGCTGTATGTCATGTCCTGCCAAGCCCCATCGGACTACTGGAGTGCATTCTGACCTTCTGTCATGGGCATCTTACAGACTGTCCAGAGGCGTTTGGGGCGAAAGTTTATCTGCCATCGCGCCTGCGTGGCAAAATTGATTCAGACTGCTCAGTCAGTGCTGCATTATATTCGCCGGGGCACCGTCCTCATGTGCTCCTGGGCTGGAGGCTTCAGAACGCCATGCAACCATTTCTGCCTTGCTCAGTCTTGCAAAAGTCGTTTTTTGCAGCAGTGCTGTGATTGCCACATCCCAAAACATGTGGCAACTCGTGTGTGGGACCTGTTGCTAGAAGGTCTCCGGTTCTCGAAGATTGGTGACCAGAAGCGCGCCCGGAAGACGTTCAGGCGGCTGGCGAACACTTTGACTGAGTACTTGGAAACGCCGCGTGAATCAACCTGTCTTTTATGGACCGGTGCTGCTGCGAAACAAGTTTGTGACGCCATGCCAGGGACGAGCATGCACATGACAGCTGCTGGTAGATTATTTCAGGATGTCAACTTTGCATCCCTCCCCATCTTGGCAGATGTTGGTGATGAATCCCGTTGGCGAATTGTGGTACCATTGTGGGATGCGCTATCCCACAAATTCGTCAAGACAGCGCTTATTGCACCTTCCAGACAATTTGTGGCCGTGATGGCCAGTTCACGCAGGTCATCTGTTTTTCGCCGAGTGGAGCTGGCTGCGCTGGAGGCGGCATCGGTTGCACCACAATACTGGGCAGTGGCAGAGCCACGAGAAGTTCTGACGCTGGCCAATGCAGACCGCTTGTTACAGCACTGGGGTGATTCTTGAGTTTGCGAAAGAGCCGCCGGGTTTGATGCACTGTGAGCCAGCCTTGCAAGATTGAGATTGTCAAGGCCTCAATTCTTGAGCTTCTTGAACCGCTAGACCCCGAGAATGATCCTACAATCCCCTCCCCCTGGTTACCCTAATTTTAACCCCCCCCCCTTGCCCCCTAATATGTATACTACCCTTATTTACAATATATTTATAATGGGAGTTCTTAATATTAATAGGGGGTAGGGGGGGGTTTAATATTTGGGGGGGAGGGGAGTATCTGGGACCTTTACCAGGAGCATCCCCCGAATCCAGGTCCTACGTCGCCTACGGCTCAACCATCCAAGTCTGCCGGCGCTCCCCATGCCGAAGTCGTTCCCGAAGATCAAGCAGCTCGTCCCATGTTTCACGTTGAGAAACCATCATCCTTGGTCCACCGACAGTGATTGTCATTTTTTGAAGTTAGGGTCTGGGGTTGTGTTTGTCACATGCACAGTTTCGGACCCGTTTGGTTTTGTGAAGGCGTTCAGTAGGTCTTGGGGGTGGTTGTGTGTTTCGGTGGACTTTCCAGCCAAAGCTTCGGAACCTTGAAGCCTGCGCCCCAAACCCTAAACCGAGAATGTGGGACTCCTTCGACGCCATCTTTCTCTCGGGTCAAACCCAAAAATCTCTGAAGCCAAGCAAGGAATGCAAGCTCCCAGCCTGCAATCTCGAGGGCCGTTGCCCTATGCACACACATCAGCTTGGAAGCCCTACTTTGGCATCCGATGCTCTCTGAGCCGTTCAAGCATCTGAAATTTCCAGAAAAACGGTCAATCCCCAGAATTTTAAAACCCTAAACCCTAAACTAATACCCTACACACAAACAACTATAAGCAAGGCAGGAGGAGATCTTGATGGGTCTGGTGGAAAACCTGACCCGCAACGTCTGGGATTTTCAGAGCCGCTTGGAAGTTCGAGGGAGGCAACCTTGCTTGTTCAGGATTAATAAGCTCTACAGCAGCTTTTGTATTTGGTCGTGGGACTGCCACAATTCGGAATCCAGGGTTTCTTTTCTCGGCATTTGGGGTTCAAGAGTGTTTCGTGTGTTTCCCATTTTTCTAACAGCCCTATCATCAAGGATTGCAATCGGGGGTACTAAAACACCCAATGAAGGGCTGTTAGTACCTTACTTCTCCAACAGCTGAACTTTAAACTTTTTGGGTTCCCTTATTTAGTAGGAATAATAAAGTTTAACCTTTTTTCCCCCTTGGCTATTGGAGAAGTAAGGTACAAGGGGGAACATCCCAAGAGTTTAGCCTCGAGGCGAGGATGCCTGGACGGTGGACAAGGGGCTGACGGCCATCGCTGAGAAGCGAGGCGGCTTGGTTTATAAGGGCTTGCGTGTAAGGGTTTAGGGTTTAGGGTTTAGGGTTTAGGGTTTAGGGTTTAGGGTTTAGGGCTTAGGGCTTAGGGCTTAGGGCTTAGGGCTTAGGGCTTAGGGCTTAGGGCTTAGGCTCTTGTACAAGCCTGCACCTCATCTCTGTCAATCAGTCGAATCAGTCGGGACTGCAGGCTGAGTTCTGAGCTGAGTTCTGCGCCTAAATTAGAAAAGCCCAAGATCCCCAAAGACTAAATAACGAAGGTCTTCCTGATAGCCGCCTTCTGGGAGTATTTGTCCAGCACGAGAGCCCTGGACTGCAACAGAGAGCGCCAAAGAGTGTCAAGGAGCGCTGGGATATTTAGGATGTATGCGTGGGATGTTTCCCCCTTATGCTAACAGTCCTTAAGAGGGATTATAGTACCCCCTACTATGATCCCTATTAAGGACTGTCAGTATAGGGGGGGGGGGGGAACCCCTAAACCCACCCTGAACCCCCTAAACCCTCATCCCAATGTATGGGAGAGAACGAGCGGTAGAGGAGGGAAAAAGGTGACTTCACTCAGCCTTGTTGCTCCTCGGGCCCAAAGGTCGCACTGTCGCACTCAGAAGCTGCGATTTAGGCTTTAGGCTTTAGGCTTTAGGGTTTAGGGTTTAGGGCTTAGGGCTTAGGGCTTAGGGTTTGGGGTTTAGGGTTTAGGGTTTAGGGTTTAGGGATGGTGGTGATGACTCAACGACTCAACTCTTCCCCACGGTGTCCTCCAAGAAGTTTTTGCGGGGCCAAGACGAGGAGCGTCTATAGAAAAGGGGGCGGAGCTGTAAATGGCATAAATCCATTCATTTGTCGTATTCGCAGCAAGGCACTTCGACTCTTGCAACCTTGCATCGCCTAGACCTCCTGGTTCTTAGTAGGGAATGCGGGAAATAGGGCCTTGTATAAGTATAGATATGCCAATATACCGATAATCTACTCTACCCTTTAAGGGAATAATTCTACCGGGCCCTTTTTTCCTCATTCCCTACTACAGAACCATCCCTTATCCCTAGACCCTGACTCCTGCAGAGAGACCCTGAGCCTGCCACAAGCCCTGGGGTCCTTCTTTGTTGTAGTCTTACATGTTTTTCAATTTAAATTCCCAATAAGGCTCAATAAGGAATAAGAACGATAATTTTTAATATAGCCCCAGCAATGAAGCAGAGCCAGGAATGTTCTGAAAGTGATTCTGGCCATCTACAAGCAGCGGGTGCTCTCGCAGTCCAAGTCTGAAGCCACTGCCGCAAACCAGGCTCGAATCCCTCAACAGCTCTAAGCCTTGTAAGCTCCGAGCTCTAAACTGTGAAATATCCGGTTCGCAGAGCACGCAAGGAGCTCTGGTCTGCAACCCGACATGTTTGAGAGCTGAATGGG